CTGCTGCGCCAGAAGCTGTGCGCGCTCGTGGTGCGCCGTATGTCCAACCCCTCCAAGCCAATGACGCCGCTCGACGAGCAGATCCTGAGCACGGTGGTGCACGTGCTCGGCGCAGAGGAGAAGAACGTCGGCCTCAGCCAGCCTAGCGGCATCGGCCAGCGCCCGCGACCTCTCACCGTCGACTCGCCCAGCTGGCGGCTGCGCGTCGACGGAGAAGAGTACCGGCACGACGCCGGCAAGTACTACCCGCAGTACGGCCAGGCGGACTACACCAACAACTACTACCAGGGTCAGAACTCGTACGGATACCGCAACGGACAGCGCAGCGGCGGCGGGCCGGGGGGCGGAGGCGCGGCGTGGCGGGGCGAGGGCGCGCAGGGTTTCTCCCCGCAGCCGCACGCCTCGCCCCACACGGCGCCGCGCAGCCCCATGTCGCCGCAAGGCAAGGCGCTGCTCGCCAACATCGAGAAGTACGCGGAGGGCGCCGAGGCTAACACGCGCTACTTCGTGGTCAAAGCGGACGACGTACACTGCGTCGAGGTGGCGCAGACCACCGGCACCTTCAACTTCTCCCCCAACACCGCCAAGAAGTTGCAGAAAGCTCGACAAGTGAGACCGAAATATTTTTTTTAATTTATACATTACAGGCCACATTTACACATGCCATCAAATGTTTGCTTCTTCAGGAGGGCTCTCGCGTGGTGGTGTTCTTCTCGTGCGCGAACGCGAGTAAGTTCGTGGGTTGCGCGGCGCTCACCGACTCGGCGCTCGACTGGATCTGTACCAACCAGGTGTCCTTCCACATGGTCAGGTATGTAAACTAACAGCTTAATACGATTTCATTTATAATATCCTCAGTAATAAATGAATTTATTGTAGGCACATATCGAACTCGCTGGCGGGCAACGCGCGCGTGGTGGGTGCGCGGGACGGGTGCGAGGTGTGCGCGGGGGCGGGGCGGGCGCTGGTGGGGGCGCTACAGCAGTCGCGCCGCGCCCGCGCCCCGCCCCGTCCCATACAGAAGCACGCCCCCGACCACTGACACACGAGTCGCCGCAAGCCGCACAAGAACCACTCGCCCACACACAAGACCCACTAGTGACTTGTGTGTGATATTGTGAACTAATACAGGAATGCAGTGATATTATAACTAAAAGTGAAAAAAAACTTACTAGTGTTGTGTTTGTGAATGAATTAACAATGTGAAGAATTATTCTATCGGTTATTAAAAGCTTGAAATGTACCTTAACTTTTGGCAGCTGTTTACGAAGCAACAACAAAATGTAATATTCATATAAATATATTTTATGTTTAATATGAGTGTTTTTCCAGTGAGAATTACAGGATGTGTATCTACATGTGTTGATTATTTAAAAATTAAATATTTTAAAAGTGAAATAAGTTATTAAATAAATATTGGTTTTAAATTATCATCAAACCGATAGCTCTTAAATAGACTATTGAAAGAAATATTAATACTAATTTCTATGTAAATTTGAGAGTAATATTAGAAAGAAAAACTGTAAATTTTGGGTGTAAAATTTGTGTTTTAAACTAAAGATAGTTTACATAAGAGACATAGAAATATGTAAAAATTCTAAACAAAAATGTTTATATATGACCTTTTTTGGTGTATATTGCTTCTAGTTCTCTATATATCTTAACATCTCATATAAAAAAAAACTGAGCATGTTATTTTTGTGAAAAAAGCAGAATAGGAACCCTTTTGTATATATACATATATTTAAATAAACTGTGCCTTTGGTGTTTTTTCGCGGTTTGCCATTCTTAGACATTATTTAATTACAATCCTTTGGCGCGAAGGATGTGCTTTCATTACAAAGTCAAGTGTCAGAATGAATAGTGTGGGGACATAAAAATTGACATTTTAGTAAGGCTAGTGTTGAGTCAATACACGGGCTCATTTCCAGATTTTCTTCATAATACTATATTTATATATGTTATGTTGCTGTTTTCTCTACTAATGAAAAAAACTAATATCTTTAATTCTTTCTTACTTGAATTATTTGCTTAGTATTAAATTCTATCCTGCCAGGTTTATTTTAAAAAAATATGCATTTAAATAATTTTTTAGCCTTTTCTCACTTGAATGAACCAAAGCCAAATGTCGAATGTTGCCAGTTCTATATGTTAAACATGTCTTTTTTATAGTTAAAGCCTATAATTTTATTATAGATAAGCCTCGGTTTGAGCAAACTTAATATAACTTCAAAAGTGATAGCTTAATACATTTTTTTTGTGTGCAATCTGCCATAAAAAGTTTATGAGTGAACGCGATTTTTTTCTGACTACATAAGTTATGTAACTAGATAAGTAAATAATGTAAGCAACATTTATAAATGTCTAAATTATATAAATATATATGTTACTTAATTTACTGATATTTAACTGTTGTCTGTAAATAAGAATTTGAAAATAACCTCAAAAATTTATCACTGAGATACAATGAGTGAATATTACTTCTTTAGAGATGTTTGGTTTAATGTACAAAAGTTAGACACGACCTAACAACTTGTCTACTAATGTGAATTTTATTTCATACATAAATGTATGTATTTTTAGACATTATTAGTTAATCCTTTAGCGCGAATGACGTGCTTTCATTACAAAGTCAAGTGTCAGAATGATTAGTGAGGGGACATAAACGTCGACATTTTAGTAAGGCTAGTGTTGCGACAGTACACCGGCAGTGTCGGATTTTCTTTATAACAGTGTATGAAATAAATTATATTTATAACATTCTAAACTTAGTAGTCATTTTTGTGGAGTAAGCAAAAAGTTTTATTGAGTTTTGTAACCATGTGAGTTTTTATGACAAAAATAGATACTCAGTTGATAATCTTCTTTTCATAGCGTCCATAAAACCGCACTTACCGTGGGTTTCTGAGACCAAAATCTGTATTGTCAAAAATGATAGGACATGATATGTTTTATACAGAGAAATTGATTTCAGAAACCAACGGTAATTAGTATAGACTTAAGAGAAATATTTTTAAGTTTAATTTTTTTGTGCATTTCTTTGGTTGTTACTCATATGTTGAGTCTGAGTTTTAACTTTTTCATGAGTATTTTTTTTCAAATGTGGACTAAGAAAAGGTGTATTTAATAAAATATTGAAGTTTAAATGTTTTTTTATTTTTTTTTATTAAAAAAATCATCTTATTAATATTTTAATGTAAAAATAATACAGTGTTCAACACTTCCGTGATTTTTGTACTCTGCTTATTCTTCTGCTTACTTCTGTATGACCTGCTTCTCTATCTTGTCCTGCTGCTCCTGTGACTGCAGCTGCTGCAGCGTCAGCAGGGAGACGCCGAGCTGGTCCTCGCGAGTGAACGGTTGCGCCATCTGGCGAAGCCATCGCTTGCAGATCTACAGACATATTTGTTTATATAATGTGTACATTTTATTAAATACTAGCTATCGCCCGCAACATCGTCCGCGTGGGCCGTTCTAGAGATACCTTTTAACATTCATCCAAACATCTAAACATTCTCATTTATAATATTAGTAATTGGAAATAAATATGCGACAGTGTTTAGCAATTACTGAGTTTTATTATGTTATATTTACTATAGCATTCAAATTAAATTGAATTCAAATGGTGAACTACATTGAAATGACAACTAAATCATCAGTCTAACCGTGAGTTTCTAAGCTCAAAATATCTGTATAAAACATATCCCTGTCTTTTATATTTGACAAAACAGAGATCAAAATTACGGTTACTCAAAGAACTAGAAAACATAGTAATACGAATTAGAATAGTCAAAGTTTATTGGAGTGTGAGACAGTAGGAGTTGATTAGTAGAGAGTGAGATAGAGTTAACCTGCACAGCCTCCTCAGTGCTGAGGTTGCAGAGTGAGTCGCGCAGATGTTCCTGTATCCAGCGCGGCAGTTTGCTGCGCTTGTCCGCGCGGCTGAAGCGCTTGTCAGCAAATATCATTATACCGTAGTCAGTTTTGCCTCTAAAAATACAAACATATTTTAAATTAGTTGCGCACCTAATAATTTTCTTTAAAAGATATTAAGCTATCAAATATATTAAGCAATATGTTGATATCCAAGTCGTTAGTGACGCAGTATTTTTTTTAATGTGGTTTCTGAGGCTTACTTTGGGTGTTTAGTGTACAACACGTACCTGAGAGCTCGGCCGACACACTGCGCCGCGTGACGCATCGCGTCAAATGTTAAAAAGTCATTCTCGCGAATCTGAAATTATAATAAAACATTCTGCATTTCACGATTATTTCTTTTTTCAGTTACATCTTATGAGATTTTTTTCGTATTCAAAATCCGACTCGAAGGACCATAGCACATGGTTTTTTTTATATCATAAGGTGGCAAACGAGCGAGCGGCCATCTGAAATCGCTGAAATAGCGAAGTGACCGTTGCCCATAGATATACGCAATTGCACATGCGTTGCCTACCTTTCATCGACGGAAGAGAGGATGCACAGAAAGAAAATATTTTCCCTTCCCATGCATCCTCTCATCCAGTAAGTCCCCTTCCACTTCCCATCCTTATAAGAAAAAGGGTGAGAAGGGAAAAAAGACTAAATTAGGCCTTCGGGACGCACACTCATCAGACTGTACGCATGTCTTCTGTATGGTCGTTGTATATCACCGAGCGAGCCGGGACTATTCGTGCGGAGATGTTAAAGCGAGCTCTAACACTGTTAAAGTGGTCACTGGTCCTTCGAGTCGGATTTTGATTTATTATGGAATTGTACAGTTTAGTGCCACGAATTCTTATTTAAATTTGAATAAAAAATAGTATTATCTTGGTGTTTAGTATAATTTATAATTTAATATTATTATATAATTTATAAGAACAAAGTACATTTCCACTGTGGCTTTTACTCAGAGGAAGAAAGGGGTACCTGGAACTGATCTCGAAGGTAATCGAGACGTGCTTTGAGGATGCGGCTCTGCGTGAAGACGTATGGTATACCGAACATGAGGACAGCGCGACCGAGGTGATGGTCGAAGTCCACACCTTCGGACACCTTGCCTCGCGCCACTGACAGCAGCACCGCGCCACGTCCACTCTCACACGCCTGGAAAGCGTCAATTTTTTTTATATTATTAGAAGGGAAACGAGTAAGAGGCTACCTCAATTCGCCTTAATAGCGAAAGACTTCGACAAAAAGAATTTATTTTCCCTTCCTAGTCCGATTCTCTATTAAATCCGTGTGTTGTAAAGTCGTGGTATTACAGCGAGAATGTTAAATATTGTTGTTGGCTCTACCACTGTAAAATACGTGTTGTCTCTTTCGCACATGCAGTATCTCACGAGTGTGTGAGCAGGACGGCACTATATTTACCTTGATATAGTTGATGAGCGCAAAGCTGGTCTCCGCGGAGTCCTGTGTCTCTATGAACAGCAGCTTGTGTCGCTGCAGACTTGCCACTACGCCTACGAGTACACATTTTTTTTTTAATTTTATAACTATTTTAAATATGCCTTAATCGTATGTTACTTAAAGATATCGTAGCTTTTAAATTTAAAAGAATTTTTTAAATCATTTTCATATTATTTTGTAGATTTACTTTAACGAAAAGATAATTTCTACTTTTCAAAATAATTAAACAAAGACAATTAAACCAACATTTGGTACACATCTTTTCAAATATGTTGATGGTTCAAGGTCGTCTTCACGCTGTACTTCCCCCACAAGCCTGTACCTTAACATAAATTAATAAAGAAAAGAAAAACAATAAAGTTTTATTTGGTATTAAAATCTAACATTCCTCCTACACCTAACATTTACTGTAGCAACTCGTGCGATGTTCCGAGCCGGTGATATATTTGAAATGATTTATATATACCTTGATCATACCAGGCACCGACGACACTCTCCAGGTACAAGTAGGAGGTGAAGAAACACACCACGCCGTCAGGCACACACGCCGATATCTGCAATCAATTTCAATCTTATTGCTTTACTATTACGCTCGTAACCTAGAGGGGTAGACAGAGATTACAGAGTTCAATTTAGTGCTTAAATACCTTGTTTCCTAATTGTAAAATAATACAAGTAGTTGAAGTTGCATTTCAAATTAGAACTGAAAATGTGTGTTCATCTTACTAATATTATAAATGTGAATGTTTGGATGTATGGATGTTAGAAGATATCTCTGGAACGGCTGCATGAATCTCGCTGAAATTTGGCATACATATAGAACATAGTCTGAAAGAACATATAAGTTACTAATAAACTTTTTTTTAATTCAGCGCAGTCGGAATCGCGTGCAACAGCTAGTAGATAAGTAAGATGTAAACCTCAACGAGGAGCTGGCCATAGTTCCTGATGACGGCGACATCCTCTCGCGACTCGTACTTAGAAGAAATGGCCACCTGGTCACTGCCCTTTGATACTATCTGAAATTTCATCATCATCAGCTCACTATACGTCCCCACTGAGCTCGGAGCCTACCCTAAGTTAAGGGTGAGTAGGCCATAGTCAACCACGCTGGCCAAGTGCGGGTTGGTTGACTTCACACATATCTTTGAATTTCTTCACAGATATGTGCAGCATCACGATGTTTTCCTTCACCGTAAGAAAACGTATTGGTACATGGCGGGATTCGAACCCAGGAGCTGCAGATTGCAAGTCAAGTGCTTGACCACTGAGCCAACGACGCTCCTCTGAAATTTACTAATTTATTAACTACATATCATTAACTCATATATTTGTTTTTATAATATGTCTAATTTTACTAAGAAATTAATTATTTTTACTATTTCTTTGTATATTTTTGGTTATTTCAGTATCTTGTAGCAATAAATTAGTAATTCCGATTAGGAATTTAAGTAAAGTTTCTTTCTATTTTAACTTTTTAATCCATTTTTTTTTATTTAAAATAATACGTTGATTTAATGACGTCATAACAATGTTATTTGTAGTTATTTGAGTAAGCGTAGGTTTCTGAGCTTAAAATCTCTGTAAAACATATCGTCATCTCTGTCATTATCTTTGACAAAAAAGAGATAACAATATGTTTTAAATCGAGGGTTCTTGGTTTCAGAAATTCAGGGTTATTGTGTTCTTACCATGGGCAGGAGACAAGGTCGAGCTAATGTCATAGTAAAAGAGCTCATGATGACAGGATTGAAGTCCAGGATCTTGGGGTACATGTCCAGAGGTGATAATGTACCTGTAAGATAATAAACAATTTGAAGAATTTCAACTGAATTAAATAATTTTGTCTTAAAAATTTAAGATTCCAAGTTCCCTGTAGGTTTTGATTTCCTTGCAAATGTCGAAAATTTGCGTAAATTTGTGACATAAACGATTGTATCTTTTGATTGGATTGGCTTAGAAGTTTTATTTTTTTATAGCACCTAGCGACCGCCACCAATTCCAGCTTGATACCTTCACGCGTTTTAGAGAAAAAGTGTCTTAACAGACGGACGGACAACAAAGTGATCCTATAAGGGATCCGTTTTTTTCCTCTGAGGTACGGAACCCTAAAAATAACTTACCCGATGTAATAATAACAGATTGGAATCTCGCGAACACGGGCCGCATTGCTATTGACGAGTCCATACAACTGGAAAAAAAATTTAGAAATAAAACATCGACATGGATTTTTTTTGGAAATAATTATTAAGTTTATCTTCGAAAGATATGATAATTCTACCTATGGGTATCCTAAGGTATCTATGGATAAGATTAATCGGAATCCAACATGTGTATGAGTACAATGGGTTCATACATCAAAAATCTTTGACAAATCATTCTATCGTGTTTTTTTAGTCAAAATAATGTAGAAATCGATCGGCAAAAAAAAATTAAGAATTTAAATTAAAAAAAAAGGAAAAAATACGTAAAAAGGTATGATACTTTTTACGTATTTTTTTACGTATTTACTTTTATAAGAACAGCTTCGTTGGCTCAAGGGTTAAGCACTTGACTTGCAATCTGCAGGTCCTGGGTTCGAATCCCGCCATCTACCAATGTATTTTTCGATTTCCGATTTACATATGTACATTTATCCTATGTTCTTACGGTGAAGGAAAACATCGTGATGCTGCACATATCTGAGAAGAAATTTCAAAGACATGTGTGAAGTCAACTCGCACTTTAGCTTTGAGTATGACCTAGTCACCCCTAACTTAGGGTAGGCTTCAAGCCCTTCAGTTTAATTGCAGTATACTTACGAGAAATACATTATAGGGTTGGAGACAGTCGGAGTCTTATCATCAAAGGGTTCGATGATGATGACGAAGCCCTTGGTGTATGTGGCTACAAGTGTGGCGAGGTGTGTCACCAGGGTGAGTGCAGCAAACCCCGAGGGGTCGGGTATCTGCAGCGCGCGCAGCAAGGACGACAGACGAGATGCACAGAAACGTAACGGCTTACGATCTATGCATACCCGTGATGCTAGATCTTTCAGGAAACCTAATAATTTATATTAATATATCACTAATCTTACTAATATAAATAAAGTTTGGATGTATGGATGTTTGTTTGAAGGTATCTCCAGAACAGCTGCATGGATCTCTATGAAATTTGACATAGATGTAGAACACATAGGCAATTTTATTAAATACCGCGCGAAAAATATCGCGGGCGATAACTAGTTAAAATTACATTTGTTTACCGTTTTATGGTCCTTCGAGTCGGACATTTGTCATACATTTACATATCCATTATGTACAAAAAGTGATTAACCACAGGTTTCCGAGACTAAAATAATTGTTTAAAAGATATTGTTATTACTATTTCATCAACGATAATGACTGGGATGACGTTATTCACAGATTTTATTATAGTCTCAGAAACCAACAATTAAATGTTTACTTTGATTGTATCAGTTAAAAATGTATGAAACATACCTGCAGGTGACTCCTGCACCACATGCTGTATGCGGAGCCGTGTCTTGATATATTCTATGAAGCGCTTCAGGAAACCAAGGAAGTGCTCCGCGTTCCTGATATTGCCTGGCACCACCTCTGATCAAATAAAAAAAATATGTCAAAAACACAGGACTTAAAGAAAACAGCAGCCTAAATTCTTAATAATTCGACTAATTTCGCCGAAGTGGCGAAGCAACTGAGGCCCATAGGCATCAGCAATTGCATATACGTTGCCTTTAAATCGACAGAGGAAGGAACGAATAGAAAGAGCAAATTTCCCCTTTCTATGCAACCTTCACAACTCAACTTCCCCTTCCCATCCTTTCTTAAGAAAAGTGTGGTAAGGAAAAGAGTAAAATGAGTCCTCCGGCACACGAAGTCATCAGACTGCAGTTCTGAGCTCGTTGTATTGCAGCGGAGAGACATTCATTTACCAAATTCTGTTATCATCTCTACAACTGTTGTATATGTAGAGGATTGCGGCAACATGCAGCGTCCTGCTCTCACATAGGTACACAAGTGAGACGGAAACATAGCATACCGTTGAGCACTTCATCAGGCAGTATTGGGTTGGTTGCGGCAACATGCAGCGTCCTGCTCTCTCATAGGTACACAAGTGAGACGGAAACATAGCATACCGTTGAGCACTTCATCAGGCAGTATTGGGGTGGTTGCGGCAACATGCAGCGTCCTGCTCTCACATAGGTACACAAGTGAGACGGAAACATAGCATACCGTTGAGCACTTCATCAGGCAGTATCGGGTTGCCGAGTATGGTGTCGGTGTCGCGCGCCACCGCCGCCTCCCGCAGCCCCTCCACCAGCTGCTCGTACTCCGCCGTCAGACGCGCCGCGTCCTGCTCTCTCATTCTACAAAAATCGAGACAGACATTTTTTTTTCATAAAAATTTACACTTTCATTTAAACCATGCCTCGCAAAACTGCTTACGTAATTTGACTGCAGTTAACTCTCTTTATATAAACATAGATTATAAATGATGAAATTATCATCGTTTGTTAGAAATTATCTCCGGAATGGCTCAATAGATTTAGAAGAAATTTGTCATACATAGAACACAGTCTGGAGGAACACATAGACTAATTAGGTATTTCCTTAATCGCGGACGGAGTCACGTGATAGTATGCAACACAAACTACAGAGTCTGTGCTATGTTGAAGAGGGGTGGAGCTAAACATAAGTCCCTCCCCTCAAAATCATATGAATTCTTTGGTCAATATATTTTTGAAGTTTGTAATTATGGTACTAAACATAAAGACAGATGTACACTGTTTATTTACAATGTTAAAATTTAAAAGACAATAATTATTATGAATGTACTTTATTTAATACCTTAAATAAAAAAATCTAGAATTTGAATTATATAGTACTTACTGTGCAACAGTCTTCTCGAGCTGCTGTAGTGCAGCCGTGCTCTTATCTATAGTGCGTCTCGTTATCCTAACACTGAGCGAGTCTACGCATACATTATCAATGTTGTGAGCTTCATCAAAAACAACAACGGCTTCTTTATGTAATTCTTTTGATACAACTTCCGCTATTTTTGGATCTAACAGATAGTGGTAGGAATAGACAACTATCTCTGCATGGATTATCTGTGGAGGAACAATATGACAGATGTCATCTGACATTAAATCATTAATGGCACAGAGTATAAAAAGCTAACTTAATCTGTGGGTTATGATATTTTTTTTATTTTTAATAAATTAAATTGGAATATACATCTTTTTTATTTTAAAAAAAGAAAGCTATAAGTTTATCTAATGTACTTTATCAAAAATTACGCAAAATTTTACAAATATGAATGCGAATATTCGGTTGCATGGATGTTTGTTAGAAGCTATGCTAATGTTCAACCGAACTTGCTGAAATTTGTCATAGATGTAGAACATAGTGTGAAAGAACACATAGGCTGTTAAGTATTTTATATTCAGAGTCGGGAGATACCTAGTAAACCAATAATTTGTAAACTCACAGCAAACCTAGACAAGAAGTATGGACACCAGTTTCTATCAGCTCCGTACTGCTTCAAATCATCTATTGTGTATACCCCATAAGGCAACATTGATTCCTTGCCTTCTCTATTGAAGCCCTCGTAGAACTGACCTGAGAATTATTGACATTATGGTCTGAGAATGGTAACACCTTACAACAGGGATGTCAATCCTATGGCACATTTTACTAATATTATAAATGTGAATGTTTGGATGGATGGATGGATGTTTATATAGATATTTGGTATAGATGCAGTGTTTTTTGATTTTCGATTTACATATATACATTTATCCAACTTTCGTATGGTGAAGGATAACATTGTGATGCAACCTGCACATGTCTGCAACAAATGCAAGACATGTGAGAAGTCAACCCGCACTGGGCCAGTATGGTTGACTATGTAGTCAGTCACTACTATCTGAGGGTAGGGTGAGCCCCTCTGTGGGGATCCATAGTGAGCTGATGATGATGATGATTTTAGTTAAGTTTACAGAAAATTTGCTATCTCATGTGATGACTTACATATAGGTACAGAGTTGTCACCTTCATGTCTTTCCCGAATGTAGCTTGCAGTGAGGGAGTGACATTTACCATCAACTAACTTGCCCTCTCTTTCTCTTGACACCTGTAAATGTATACTTAAGTAAATATTACGCAAAAAACAAAACAGATAGTAAATAATTAAAAAGAACAATCTAGAAATAGTTGCATGTTACTATTTGTGTATTAACCTTCTAAAAAGTTAAATAATCTGAAATTTTCAGAACCTTTTGACACAGTTCTAAATAAATTACAGATAAAAATGTGGTGACATCAAAATTATTTAATTTTTATTGTTCATTATTTGACAATCTTTCTTTTAATCTATCCATATAGTTCTTATCTCTTATAGTTCACACTAATGTAGATGAAGATGGCTTGTGAACTCACATCTGGATGTATACATAAGTTCTTCCTGGAACTGAGAACTACTCCGGTAAGGTTGGGTTTCTCTCCTTGACTTTTTTCATAATATTTTATAAGATTCTTTAGCTCTTCCAATACTTTCTCTATTTCTGGCACAGTACGGGAGCAATATATCAACTTTCTGAAATCATATTATAATATTTTTAAATTGTTCCAAATGTTTGCAAAGAATTTGTAAACAAGGAATTTCACCTGACATGGTGCGGATTTTGTATCATGTATGCAACAATCAATGATAATAAAGATATAGTTTTGCCTGTCCCTGACGGCATCTCAAGTAGTCCATGGCCCTGTAATGTTTCATTAAAAATTTAACAATTACGTATGTTCCATGTATGGTAAAATTATCGTTTCTAAAATTATACCTTTGCATCAAGAGCTCGTTTCAATTCAAGCATGTATGCATACTGTTCTGGGTATATGTAATCGTAAGGGAAATACACTAATAATCCATCTACGGTGAGCCTAAAACAATAAAATTTTGGTTATTATCGAACCAAAGAATGGTCATAAAAGAAAGATGGACTACTGACTTCATTTTATATACAGTTATTTATCGATAAGATGATTAGAGTTTAAAAATTAAAGAAATAACTTCTAAATAAACTAAATAAATTCTAATTCATAAAGTAGTTTCAAACCGCATTATTTGCAATGTTTTGATGTTTGGTTTGGGTTTAGGTTTTTGACACTGACTTTGACTTTTCGGCTACTTGATATTTGACATTTAACGATCAGTTTTAAAATTTATCTTACAGCTACAAGAGACACATATATAAAAACAGTTTTATGTAATAGAAAACTATAAAAAAATATTCGATAATTCTTAATTTACTATTTGGTAGTAAATAGGATAAATCCTAATAGAAACCTATCTCATTGTTTACTACCAAATACTTCCAAATACTTCGTTACCACTGACTAACCCGCAATTTAATGTACCATGATAGCCTATTCTAAAATAAACACTATTAATCGTAATGTAATTTGAAGTTCATCAGCAAGATAATTAAACATAACAACATTAAAGATATTAGCTTAGACAAATATGTACAGAAGACCTTTAATTAATTGTTTACTGGACCTATGAACTTTTGATAACGGTTCATTGTAATTGCACCAATACATCATTCAATCACCATATAAGTTTGGAGTGAGATAGATGTAAAAAATGGTTAAAATTGCAATCATCGGTGCGGGAATCAATGGTTTGACATGCGCTTTAAAAATTAAGGAGAAATATTCCGACTTTGATGTGAGTAAATTTCACACTGTTTCTTTTTATAAAAAGGTACACTTGATCTGACCATTCGTCTTACCTAGTTTACTGTACCATGCTTTAAAAACGTTCAAACTGGAATTCAAACTCCCATTGACATATTTTAAGTTAGATTTTTAACCACTAAGGTATATCTTTCGATATGATAAGCATATCATAGTATGTTTCATATTTTTTCAGGTGACGATATTTTCGGAGGAGTTTACACCAAACACAACAGGCGATGGATCCGGGGGACTGTGGTATCCTTACCTCTGTGGTAATACATCACAGGAAAAACTTACGTACGTAAAACTTTTTCAATATCTTATTTGTAGAGATCGATTTGTCTTAAAGAGAACTTATTACTAATTTGTTTAAAATTACCAAAGGAATTACAATTTTCTGAAACAGGAAATGGGGCATCGAGACATACCAATTCCTGCATGATCTGTGGTACACCGGTGGCTATCACATATCCCTGATCCCGATTTACGAGCTGTACAGAGACAAGCGAGATGTGCTGCGCCCGCGCTGGGCTGACCTGGTCTTCGGGTACAGGGAGCTCGACATGAGACAACTAGACCATCTCAGTCGTATGCACTCTATTAACTATGCGTGAGTATTCAACAAATCTAAGCAGTATGGAATGATTTGGTAGCCGAATTACGAGAAAAATTAAGCGTCCGTGGGTAATCTCGTCCTGGGTTCGAATCCCACCGTGCCTATGTGCACATATCTATAAACAAATTCAAGTATATGTGTGAAATCCGCACTGTTCTACCGTGGTTTACTATGGCCTAGTCACTCCTAATTTAGTAGCGAGCCTCTCAGTACGTATAGTGAGATGATCAATCCAAGATTTTGGTATTAAACTTCACTTTGATTAAGAATAATAAGTGAGGTTGCGTTTCAACAAAATAATAAAGCGCACTTTCACCAGCGTAATTCTACGATGTTATGTTTACTAAGCAATTCTTTCACAGAGCTGGTCGTAGTTTTACAACATTCGTGATCCAAGCGCCGAAACTATTGGAGTATCTATACAAGAGGTATAAGGCTGCTAATGGGAAGGTGGTGAAAGCGAAATTGTCTTCTTTGTCAGACCCTTTGCTGATGGCTTACCACGTCGTGGTGAACTGCACAGGTGTAGGAGCGAAACAGCTTGTACCTGACGATAGAGTGTTTCCTATACGTGGACAAATCGCAAAGGTAATTCGTCATTTATTTTGAATAAGGAACAAGTAGCTTAATAATTCATAGACAAGCTTCTGTCTGATATTTTTTTTTAAAACATAGATTTCTCCTTACAACACTATTTGTTTGTAAGGAGTTTAATTTATTGCAAAAGAACGTGAAAATTAAAATTATTATCCCCCGCAAAGGATACTATTTCTTTGTTTTTTTTTTTCAGGTAAAAGCTCCGTGGCTGAATTATACGATCGTTGATGAAGACAGTGGACATTACGTCATTCCAAAGTAAGTTTTAAAAAGTTGTCAGGCTTAATTGAATCTTATTGTTTAAGAGTTAAGGTTTTAAATTGTTAATATTTGCCCCGTTGTAGCGATGCTCTATGCGTGTTGGGAGGAACTCATCAAGAGCACGACTATAGGAGAGAACTGGACGATGAAAATAAAGATTTTATTGTAAACGGCTGTAAACAAATGATACCTGGACTGAAGGTAATTTAAGGCATATTAAAAATGAACACATTAACTGTACTACACTTTAAATAAGAATATACATTTAGTTTTCTTTTGTGCGTAACGTTGTGTGATAAAACCCTTTTTTCTCGCTAGGGGCGGTAGTGTCGTTTCTTTTTATTTATTCTTGCAGTACGCTGAATTAATACAGCACTGGGCGGGCTTGCGACCCGGTAGAGATGAAGTGCGACTGGAGACTGAAGAGAGAGGAGGCAAAGTATACATACACAACTACGGACATGGTATGTATGCTGTATACAACTGTTTGAAGGCCTAAAGTAAATTTAGCAAGCGCCTGTCAAATTTAAAGAGCAACTTTTTTATATAAGTGTGACAGTGCTATTTAATCCTTGCAGGCGGCAGTGGTTTGACATTATTTTGGGGCTGTGGTGACAGTGTGGTGCAACTACTGGAAGAGAGCTTGTCATCAATAAAACCATCAGATATTAAATCAAAACTTTAATATAAACAACAAATATACTTTGAATATTAATAAACTGAGACGGAAATAACCCGTATACAATAACATGGTAAGCTTTATTTATGTACAGTCAGCGTCATATAGATCGTCACAGACAAGATATGCAAATATATAGGTACATCAAAAGTAATCAATTATATCGGTACAACAAAAGTCCTCAAAATAATAGATACATTCACCCTGCTCAAAAACATCGGTACATACACAGCGTCAAATATATGAGTACATGCAAGATGCTCATAAATATCGTAGCATCCACAGCGTCATAAGTAACGAAGCAGTCAAGGTGCTCAAAAATATCGGTACATTTGACAAAATTGAACTCTATCTCTATATACTTGTGATACAATTTGGAATAAACTACTTCTGTTACATTCATTTGACACTTCGTATTAACATTATAGGTTGTCCGGAAAGTTCGTTCTGATTTTCGATATAAAGCTTACAATAGACTGTAGCTGAAGTGGATTCATTTTCGGATTTCCACCATTATCAAACGTCACAAAAATTTCTATATTGTGAATAATTTCATTTCAATGGTTGAGATAAAAACTAATTTTTAAAATTTTATCCAATAATAAAAGACGTTTTAGGTATAGAGTCGTACCAATATAATTTAAAACCATTTCCAAAAAATTAAGAGGACAGGGTTTCAATTTTCCTTATAAAGCGGCACGAACTTACTGGGCAACCCAATATTTTTTTTCTCCTGTCATAACGCTTAAATATATTATAAAAGTTTGTCACGCCGAATATGACAGATACGTATTAACTAATATCAAATTTTGCCTTGTCACAATATATACTAGTTTGGCGCAGTATTCTAGTATGTTTGCCGTAATATGTAAGTTTACCGGTTCGAATCTCAGGCTACTTTTTTTTCATTTTATCAATCACGTGGTTATTTTTTCATAACCAGTAAAAATTTGGTAATGTAAAATTTTGCTCGACAATTTTTTTTTATAATTTTCGCTGTCGGGTAGAAAGAAATTTAAATAAAGTTAACAACAATTAAGTCAGACCATCGTGGTTGAAGTGAGTGGGCGGAGCGTGGATTGTCTTTGCGGGTTTTAAGAATGGTACGCGCGGAAACTATACGTACAAGTGTTATCTACATATGTGTGCGCGCCCACGCACACTGGAATGTTTATTGCAATCGACCAAAAATTTGATGTAGTTTGGATATTGACATTTAGATTTTTTTTCTTTGTTTCTTAAATATAATCAGTATCAGTAAAAGGTAAAAGTAAAAGTGTTATTTTTACCGGTACAAGTTTAACAAACATGAGTAATAAACAAATTACATGTCAATAGCATCACTTTATCTCCTTCATTTTTGTTTGAAATAGAAAAGTACTTTAGCGTTCAAACTCATTAGTCCAAGGCAATATCAAAAAGTACCTAATAACTACGGCGATAGAGTTTAATTACATGTGCTTCGATATTAAAATTAAAAAGTTTAAATATCAAAAAAAAATAGTTGCTTGGGATTTGAACCGCCGAACTTACGTACCAACGGCGGCGAACGGTAAGGCCATGAGACCAAACTAGCATATATGATGACAAACTTAAATTTGATGTTGGTTTTATCTACGTAATATCTGTCATCCGCGTCGAACACTTTTAGTAAATTTTGAAAAATGGTTTGATGCAAAGTGTCAAATGAATGTAACAGAAGTAGTTTATTCCAAATTGTATCACAAGTATATAGAGATAGAGTTCAATTTTGTCAAATGTACCGATATTTTTGAGCACCTTGACTGCTTCGTTACTTATGACGCTGTGGATGCTACGATATTTATGAGCATCTTGCATGTACTCATATATTTGACGCTGTGTATGTACCGATGTTTTTGAGCAGGGTGAATGTATCTATTATTTTGAGGACTTTTGTTGTACCGATATAATTGAATACTGTTGGTGTACCTATATATTTGCATATCTTGTCTGTGACGATCTATATGACGCTGACTGTATTTTAGACAATTAAATATGAAATGTAAACCTTCATTATAAAATATAACAATAAATCCATTGTTCTATTTTCCATTTTTTGAAACAACTAATCTTACAACACAGATCATTCGACGATTCATTTTGATATTTGAATCGTATTGTAAATGTCTGTTCTTCTTTGACATCTTATTGGTATTTGATTTCTTACTTCTTCAATTGTAGAAAGATCTGTAATAAAAAAAATACATTAAAAATGTAGATTTTCTATATAAATTGTTAACCGACTGATAAGAGGATAAATATTATTAAAGTGTTAAATGCCATAAAGATAATAAAGCTTGGTAATAGAAACTAGTTAAAAACATTGTTTATATTACCTATGTCGGCAAACAGTGTCCCTGCTTTCTCATCTAACTTAGCAACGGGGCTTCCCCATGGATCTATTAGTGTAGAATATCCCCACGCAACGTAGCCGGCGCTAGTGTCGCGGGCAGGGCTCACTAGCGCCACCCAAAGCTGAAGGTCGGTGGCGCGCGCCCGCCCCAATAACTCCCAGTGCTTCGGACCGGTAGTCATGTTGAACGCACCCGGGTATACAAGCAACGAACAACCTAAAAGATAACAAATAATTTTAACTTGCATTTTCAAACGAAGAATTAAAATAATCTATCATAGAGTATTTAAATTGTCACAGAGTAATCAGGCAAGTTGTCATAGAGTCAAATTGTCACAGAGTAATCAAGCGAGTTATCACAGTGTATACAAATAAGTTGTCATAGAGTATTCAATTAGATTGTCATAGAGTACTGTTGTTTTTTTTACAACTAACCTTGGTCAGCCATAAGGCGCGCCATCTCCGGGAACCTAAGATCGTAGCAAATACCCAGTCCGATCTTGACGCCCTGGAATTCGAATGTCGTGATCTGATCTCCCGCGCTCAGCACCTCCGACTCTTTGAATGTTATCTTATTTGGAATGTCTATATCGAATAGATGCACCTGAAATAATTAACACCATTTTTTTTAATTTAGTATTGATAGCAACAGATATAATGAGACAGGAAGGATTACAATCTGAATACTTATGTATTAGTCTTAAGAGGTTTTTCACATAACTGTTTGACAAATTGAAAGCGTCAATAGCCTAATGGTTAAGGATACGGATTTTCGGTCACGAGGTCGGGGGTTCGAATCCCGACTTTCGACTATTGTCGTAAACCATATCCTAGCACAAGTATACAGATTAGTTGGAATGGTAAAAGAAATAAAGAAAAAAAAATTGTTGTGTCACATACCTTCCTATGCTTAGCAAGCAGTTTTCCAGCACTGTCCCATACGGTACATGTATTATAGAGCTTGGGGCCACAGCGCTCTGGGAGTGTACCACCCACAACACACACGCCAGCCTCTGCTGCGGCTTGTGACAGGGCTCTGCATGTTGCCCCAGATGGTACTTCTTCTGCATACTCGTTGAAGTACTCTAAAATGTGGTTAATGTATTAATTAATTGAAATAGAGGTAGAAAAAGAAAAGTTTAGGTATTGTAGCCGCACCTTTTAGAAATTGGAATGGTTAGACTTGGACTATTAACATCGTAAATCTAGTCTTAATGCTAGACCATAAGTATTAAGACTAGAACAAAACATATTCCATTTTGAACATAACATCTTTAATTACAACATTTTTTCATAACTTACTGTGTTTTTATAACATTATCTTTGACGAAACAGAGATGTTTTATACAGGGATTTGGTCTCAGAAACCCACTCTAAGCGAATAAAAAAAAATGGCAGCCATTTATGGAATTTAATATTCTGCTTTTTATTGTTTAAATAAAGCAGACACCTAGTATCACCTCATTTTTTATTGCCATCATGTAAGGAGATAAGACAAGATAGTATTATTTACTTAACACTAAAAATAACTTTGTAATCATCTTACTTACGGGTACCATATGGTGAATTAAAACACTCAGGCAAGGCTATTAATTGAGCACCTTTCTCTTTGGCTTTGTGGATTTCCTTAACAGCATTTGCTATATTCTTTGTCTTGTCTGGCCCAACTGCCAATTGGACAATTGCTATTTTGAAACCTTAAACACAATAAGATATATTGCTTTTAATATTTTCATTACTACAAATGAAACTACTATAATCTAAGATTTTTTTTATTTAAAGTGAAGAAGCTGTAAATTAAGTTTTAAGGGTTGACTTTTAGATCGGAGACAAATGTATTTGTTAGTTACGAAATATTGGAGATTTACATAAATTAATATTAAGTTAGAAACTCAACAATAATAAGAATAAAATATTTAAGCATGCTCAAGAAACTACTATCTTATGATAAGTAAATAAATGTTTGTTTTACATAGCACACACAAGTATATATGAAAATATATATAAATATTATATATTACTAAAGGAACTATTTACAATACTTCATTTTAGTTGATTTTATAATTAAGTTAACATAATCTGAATTAGATGAATAAATTATATAAAATATGCAAAAAATACACAATTAACACAAGCTACTTACTCATAGTATTCAAATGTTATGGCACTGATAACTACTTTATCAAAGGTCACAGCTCAGAGCTAGTTTTGACACATTTATCGTGGCATAGTACAAGTACTCGATTAAAAGTTTCACAAGTTTATTTTTGCTATTTCCACAATATATTTACATGCATAAAACACTTGGTTAGTTCGTATAAGTCTAGGGTTAATAAATACCTACGCATAAACCAAATACCATACCCCCAAGAGCATAAACAGGTTTCTTTGCAAATCGCGGATGTACCGCGTCAGTAGTACTTTCACATAATTCGATACCATTTGAATTCATTATATTTATTTACCTTTTCTCAACATGACCAGTTAGTTGACTTATAAATATTTTTACACTCTTAAAATGGAATAATAACAAAATAACGAAGCTAACCTAATTTGTTTTTGATAGATGACAGTGACAGATTTTTATTATGACAGATGACATTGACAATTATTAATAAAACAAAGACCGTGTACATTTTCGGACAGAAATGTTAAATAATTTCAGCTCGAGCTTTTAATCCGGATTTGATTGAAGAGTATAAAGCTGTGGGTTTCCACTACCGAAACCTAAAACATAATGGCACAAAAATTTCCTCCGTAATATTACACGGTTAGATTAAAGATATATAAGTAAATAAAACGCGCTAATGGTATAAAAATAATGATTTATTACATTCTAATAGTCATAAAATAAATTGTTGACTAAACCACAATATTTACAATCCATTGTCACTGAAAAATTGCGGCTTTTAATAATTCCTTTAATTTGATCTTAAAAATAATCCTTAAAAAAGAGATATAAGTAGAATGACACTTTTTGTAAAAGTAAAAGAACATTTTTGCAAAAGAAAATAGATATTTTTACATAGAAGAGATATTGCCCTTCTTATACATTATCTCCCTTAGGAAAACCACCTTTTTCGGTAAGCATGTGTGATAAATAAAATAAAATGTTAATAAATACTCCTTAATAGTCAATGGACGTATGAAGGAGAAAAGTAGAATGTGGTCAGTAGAGCGGAGGTTGATGCGGTTGGTTCGCGGGCTGGTTCGCGGCTTGATGCGGGGTGATACGAGCGCGGCGCTCGAGACGTGCGCGGCTGAGATAAGGCGAGGGCTGCTTGAGATGTACGGTGCGTACATGCAGCTTACAGCTATTGGACTGCGCGAACGCCTTGCCGCAGATACCGCACTCGTATGGTTTGACACCGGTGTGGCACTACAAAATATCACCTTATTAAAAAACATAAAGTCAACCCGTTCATTGTTTTACAAACAAAAGAGCTCTTACTGCATATGACTAGGATAAATGTTACAGTTATGGACCAGTTGACCTCTGCAATTACTATGGAGGCTATATTTTTTTTGTTTTGTCCGTTTAGAGCTACAGCACATATATATTTACCCTGGTATGCCTGTCGAGCGCGGCCTTGCACTTGAAGGCCTTACAGCAGAGGGTGCAGGGATGAGGACGCGCGTCAGAATGCGTGCGCGCATGCATCTGCAGATTGATGCGGTTGTGGAACGCCTTTGGACACTGCGGGCATTTGAATGCGCGCTCCTCGCTATGCGTGCGCTTGTGGTATGCTAGGAACGCGTTACCCTAAAAACACAATGTATATAAAATATGTATAAGATAGCAGTCAACCTTAATCACCATTTCTTAACCAGAACTTCACTGCAAGTTGAAACTTGTAATAATAAATAGTCACGGCAGCACTACGATAACTTTTATAATGATATCAATAAATAAATAAGTTAAATTAATAATCTATGGATGATTAATGTTTGTTTACCCTAAATCCTTTGCCGCAGACGTCACAGATGTGGTTCTTCGCAATAGGGTAGGTCTTGTCAGGGTGAACGCGCCGGAAGTGGACCCAGTACTCGCGGGCGTTCGGTATCTCTTCAGAACACTGAAATTTTTATAAAACACTAGCTGTCGCCCGCGACTTCATCCGCGCGGGATGAAAAATAGATGTTGGCCGATTCTCAGACCTACTCAATATGCTCAGAAAATTTCATGAGAATCGATCAAGCCGTTTCGGAGGAGTATGGGAACAAAAATTGTGACACGAGAATTTTATATATAAGATATATGGTCCTTGGAGACGGATATTTTTGGCTAGAATTCTAAGAAAAAAGTAATTTGCTCTGATGTGTTTCGCAATTAGCGTTGTATTTTAGTATTTATATTGTAAAATATATTTTTAAAGATGTTAAATTTGTAATTACTGACATGTTCACAGTTAGTAGGCCACTTATTATCATGTTTGGGAGGCTTCTTCCCGTAGTTAGTGGGTCTCTTCCGCGCGTGCTTTTGTCTATGGTGAATTCGTAGCTCTTCAGGATTATTGAATGTTTCCCCGCAAACACGACATCCGTTACTGTAAAAATATATTATAAAAATTAAATTCAATGAAAATTTAACCTTTATTTTAAAGCTCTCGATCAAACAAATTTGTCAAATATGATTAATCGTTTACCGATATTTTAAATAATAAAAAATTACGTTATAGCTTTTAAAAAGGAATGACAATCCAATTTTTTACGGTTGCAATTAATTGTTTGTCTGTATGTCTGTCTGCAAGGCTGTGTCTGTTCCCTGTAATCTCCGGAACTGCTGAACCGATTTAGGCGAAACTTTAACAAGAATTATAGACATTTTTTCTTATTTTTTAATTATGTGCTGACAAAGTCGCGGGTGTCCGCTAGTCAATGTATTTTGTTATGAATTGTATTTGATATACTAACTTGAAGATGTATGAGGGTACATGTTTGACAGAGGTGACCAGGTGCCGCTTCCACGCCTCCTCCGACATGAACTGCACCTCGCACTCCGCGCAGTACCGACTCTTCTCTTCGACCTCATCACCAGTCACCTTCACCGACTTCTCTTTTGCCTTTAAAATATATAGACAAATTGAAATTACAACTAAGTATTACAAACAAGGGGACTAAAAGTACTGAATATTAGTAAAAGACCACTTCCACGCGTATTTTTCTTTTTGGATTGATTAAATGGATTTATTATTACTATTTTACATGGTTCCAGATAAAAAACTTATTTTGTATAGTTTTGGTTGACGGTTGCTTAAGAGTCGGGGTTTACTGGCGGATCGAGGATTACTGCGGGGTTGAGGTTTACCGGGGGGTCGAGGTTCACTGGGAGGTCGAAGTTTATTGTGGGGTCGTGGGTCGATTTGGATTGTTATAGTTGGGGGTTGTTGTAACTCACCAAGTCTAGATCCTTGTGCATCATGGTGCGGTGCATGGCGAGCCCCAGAGAGCTGACGAAGGAGTACCCGCAAACCCCGCAGATGTGCTGCGAGGGATGCTTTATCCTCACGTGGCTCAAGTACGACGTCCATTTACTTGAAAAATAGAACATTAAAAACATAAAAACATTCATAACAAGACTCTGGTGACAATGGTTTTTTTATATACTGTTTACAACTTAAAGATGGCCGCCGTCACATAATGATAGATGACATGTTTTGCACAGAACCTCCAATATGGGCATGCACTATGAGAAATCCAAAATGGCCGCTATAACTCACGTGGATATTTCATCGCAGTATTGACACTTGTAGGTAACCCCCTTGTGCCAGCGCTGGTGTTGTCTCGCTTGTGTCCTGAAATTTACTAAGTTGTTTTTTATTCCGCTTGGACGGAATCTCTGAACAATTATTTAAATAAAATCCTGACGTACGGTGTCCTAGAGACGTATGAGCAGGCTTTGCAGGCGTATTTCTTCTCATGGTTGGAGGTGTGTTTCAATAAAATACGTTTTGTCTTGAACCGGAACTTGCACACACAACATTCCATGTCCCCCGCACTCTGCAACAAAGTATAGTATTTAACATTAGTTAAAAAAAAACAAACATATTTTAAGCAGGTAAACATATTTTAGACCAATAAAATCATTGATGTATTCAAGAGTAAATAATTTTTTGGTTTTTACTAAGTTACTCGGATTTGTTTTTTTTTTCAATTCATAAATACTTTTAATATTAATAAATTTCTTCAACCTTGATTGTATAGAGCTAAAGTATAAGGGTAAGTTCCATATATATAAAACACAGTCAGGATGAATACATAGGCTACTAATAATGCTTCATCCCGTGCGGTTGAAGTTGACAGACAGCTAGTAAAATTATTGTAACACTGACCGGATCATGTTTCCTGAGGTGGTGGTTCCAGGCATCAGTGTGTATAAAACCTTTGTAACAAAGATCGCATTTGTACGCGGAATTCAAATAGTTGCTTGATGTCTTCCGCTGCTTTACCTCTTCTATTTGCTCCTCCAACTGTAACAATCAGTTTACACTGCACTAAACATTCACAAAACATATTAATTGAACATTTTCTGAACTGAAGAGTTAAAGGGAGATGAAATTAAGACCCATTTACATGATGTAAGCTTCTAGTCTGTTGCATACACTTAAAATTACTCACAACTCATCATCAGCTCACTATATGTCCCACTGAGGGGCTCGTTCTACCCTAAGTTAGAGGTGACTAGGCCATAGTCAACCAAGCTGGCCAAATGCAGGTTGACTTCACATATATGAATTTCTTCGCAGATATGTGCAGGTTGCAGGTTTTCCTTCACCGTGAACATCGGATAAATGTAGATAAGTGAATCGAAAATTGAAAAACACATTTGTACATGGCAGGATTTGAACCCAGGACCTGCAGATTGCAAGTCAAGTATTTAACCCCTGAGCCACCAACTCTGTTTGCTTACAAGTATTAAAGAAAAATGGTAGGAGGAATTTATTAAATTTGATTCTCTGGTACATCCAAAAAAGTATCATGTAATCTCCACTAACGCCAGGTGGAATCGTGGTCAAGCGCTGGCTTATCAAACATAAAAAAAAATGTAAATGGACCGTAAGTTGCGAAGTGCAAGGCAATTTTTTTGTAACTAATTATGAATAAAGGCTACATATAATTATTTTAAAAATAATTAAAAATATAATAATTTACCGATAGTGTTATTACAGTAACATATTCCTCAATGTCTAAATCTTCTTCGTGATCTGTGTATTTTATGAGTTTGTTTTCTGGCTTTGTGTTTTTCTTTGGTCTTCCTCTCTTCTTACGTTTGGTGTCTAAGAGACTTTGTACAATAGTTGAATCCTTTTCTTCAGTCTAGAGATATATATATATTAATTAAATGTTTGAAAATGTATAAATATAAGTAAAAATTCATGTCACAAAGAAATTCCACTTCGGAAATACTTATTGTATTATAGACTAGATGTCGCTCGCAACACCGTCTGCATGGAATCACCGAATCCGCTCTAACTGTCTACCTTAGAATGACTGAATGGATATCAATGAGATTTGACATACATATAGAACACAGTCTGGCGGAACACATAGGGGACTTATTATGTTTATTTTTTAACTCTGCGCGGACGGAGTCACGGGCGACAGCTAGTTAAATTATATATTTACAAATCATATTATTACCTCATTTAAAAAATCTCCAAAACTATTCTCTGACATTTCAGAACATTCTCCATTGTTTCTTTTTTTTCTTGTTTTCTTTTTAACTAATTTACCTTTCTTTTCTTTTCCATTTTTATGTATAGATAACGGTTCATTATCATCGCTGGACATAGACAAGGATCCAAAATCATCAAAATTACTTTCCTGCTTTATACTGTTTATGTCCAATTCTATATTATATTCTAAAATATTATCCATTTGCTCAAATGGTTCATTTTTAATGTTTTTCTTTGAATCTTCATAGTTTAGGCAAAAGTCTTCACATGTTTTTGTACTAGAGAATACAAGATTAGATGTCAAATGGAAATAATCTCTGTCTATCTGTTTTACATCTTCAGTTGATATCTGTAATGTGAAATCATTTTCATAGTTAACAATAGAAAAATAGTAAGGTTGGACTTTTAGATTATGTTAGACAAATATTAAAATATAAATGCCTTAGCTGAATTATTTTTCCTATTATTTAGCACTTCTTTATTCATGCTTAAACTCCTGATAAGTTACTTTTTCTAGATAAGAAAAGTGACATGGCTTAAATATATTATTATATATTAAAGCATACCTTTCCAGATGTTTGCAGTATCCCATAGAGAGCAGTCTGACCTCTTAGACACCGTTCTCGGAAACTATTGAACTTCTTGATAAGTGTTGTACATTCATAACAAGCAAATGGAGGCAGATCTGTTATCTTAAAGAGCTGAAAGAAATTATATTTAAAATTATAAACATGTTATTAGGAGACAAAGACACCTCCACATTTTAAGTGATATTTTAATTTTTAGACAGTTACGATATATTTAATTCAAATATTAAAGTAGCATCTAATCCGAACTTACATTTATTCCTGTAACATTTTCAAAATAGGTTCCAAGAGGATAATCCTGTAGATTGTGCATGCTTACATCCATTACGAGGCATATCCTACACACTTTTATGTGTTCCATCGTAATCTACTTATCGTATATTTCTTAAACTAAAATATTTTCATATATTCGCGGCACACGAACACGATAGAGTTAGAAAACTATAGAATTTCTAATCATATTTTAAAATCATCAAGCATAGTTTTTAAGGATTTAAGTTACTAGGTTTTAAGTCACATTTTCAAATATAATTTTTTTACGATGAGTTTTATTTTGCGATTCTCCTAAAATGCAATAGTAATAGAAAAATACTCGAATAAACACACGAAGAATGTCTATTCATGCAAAGACGCCAAGTGTCTTCCATATTTGTTGTTGTTGACATTGTCACTTGCCAGTTAGTTGACAGTTTGTTGACAGTATGGCAACGGCTTATGGCTTTTAGAGCCGCAAGGATACTGTTTTGCAAAATATTTACTTTTCTTCCAAAATTTCCTCAAGAATAATTTAATTCTTGTTTATTTATAATTGATTAAACAAGGCATAGCATTCCTTTTTTAATTTGTGATACAAAATAAGAAACACATTGAGAATAATAAAAATGTACCCCTCCTACCCACTCCTGCCTTAAGGGCAAGGCGCGATTTCTTTAGTGGATACTGCCATTTATATACTCTTTGGATACTGCCTAGATAATTCGGTCGTCATACAGCATGTGGAATGTCCCCGTAAAAAGGCTTATTGGCTAATAAAAATGATCTATCATCTAAAGAAAAGTAAGGACTATCACCCTACTCATGCTGGCGCTAAGAACTAGTGAAAACAGTTCTCGGATGCATTAGCATGAGATTACGCCCTTAGTCCTATGCGATTAATAAAATTTTGTCCAACGTAAATACTTGATATAAAACATTATTGCTAATAAATGATTTGTCGATAAAGATCCTGTTTAAATCACAGATCTTTTGTAGCTAATCGTAAATTACAAATATCATTTGGGCTTTCAATTTATTGCGTACTTATCATTTAAAAATAAATTGTTCGGCCGAGCTATCTTATTGTTCGTTGTCCCTGACCCATCGCACTTAGAATTTAAGGTCGCACAACTATTTATAGAATATGAAAGTAATATGTCTGATGTTTATTATAAGAATGAATCTAATATATTATATATGTAGTACATATGTATTCTGGTAGGTATTGTAGGTGGTTTAAAAACGTCTGAGCTTAAATCTTATAGATAAATCGCGGATACTGTCGGATCTAAAGTTAGAGAAGGGATCGCTTCAGTTGTAGCCAGGGCGGCCAAAATAAAAGTGTAGAGAGGTGGCAAGGAAAGGTCTAGGGCGAAATTGTTTTTTGGTGCTTTTGTTTTTTTTTTATGTAGAGCTGCTATGCTTTTCGTATGCCAAGGGGGAACAATCTTTGGGATCACTGCCGCTTCATTTTTTTATTTAGGAAAATTCAGATGGCTTGCTAGTTTGCCACCTTATAATTTAAAAACGTTAGTGGACTCATTAAAGAAGAGATGTAAATTTATATGAGAGGGAAATGTCTTTTTTCTGTACATCTGTGCAGCTTGTTTCTTGTATGGACCATTCGATCGAATTCTACAATAAAAGTTTTTATTAACATTATATTAAACATGCAGCAATAAACGCTTTCAAATTTTAATTAATTAATTTTGTAAACCCACAAAACGTAGTTTGACTTTCTGGCGGCCATTTTGGGTATTTGAAGTCATAAGTTGTTCTTGACAAATGTAGGCCAGCGACCGCGGCGGCACAGTTAGATTTTAAGATAAGAAAAGCTGTAACTTGCAGATACTCTGGAAAACCGTTAGATCTCATTCTTTGTACTGTTGCTTATAATAATAACAAAAAAAACTGCCGTAAAATGTCATTACTTAATTGACGCAGATGAATTTAAGGCGGATGTTCATTAAAATTTAAAAGTGGCAATAGAATTATTGACCTTCGATTTATGATAATAACACAATTCGAAAACACATCATAGGACGACAATCACGATTGGTTACCACTTGTTTAAATTACGATTATGCCAAATGACATTTTTTCTTAGTATGTCACATAAAATAATTAGTTTAACGAAGTGGCAAGATGAGTTCCGGACTTCTAGATATATCAGGATTTTTATTAAAGAACGCTTTTTCTGATAAATGGTTTAGTCAAATCTTTTTCCTCCTTGTGAAACAATTGCCGACGAATTTGTTTATATTCACATAAGTTTACATATCAGCCACATTAGCATCATAGCGCAGTGGTTCAGCACTGAACTTATTATCTTGGAACCGGATTCAATTCCTGCTAAATAATATTGAAGGAGGAGCACTCGTGAATTCAATCACAACGACGGTGGTACAACCTTAGTTGTACCACAATATAGGAAACAAAATAAAGCAACAGAGTCCATAGAATTAGCAGTTGAGTATTCCAGCTTTATACCATGTTTAGGTAGATTCCAATAGCTTTTAATGATTCTTTCTTCTTTCTCCCTAAAAAGGAGCGAACGCATAGCCAATGGGCGTCCAGGGAATTCTTTTTTTTTGTCTATGAATCCATTTTTTAATGTAAAAAATTGTCCTGGCTGCATTTAAAAAAATAATGTTCTATTTATTCAACGTTAGTAGAATATAGGTATCATAATTATAACTAAATGAAATATTGCGCGTTGTAATTACGTAATGTTTTATTTCACGAGGCACAAATGGATTTCCCGGCATAAATAATGACTTCCGGGAACTTGTTTTCAGATCAAAGCGGTCTACCTAAATGGCATCCGGTATTGTTTTGATAAAAAAAATATTTAGGAATGACGTATATTCATTTAGATTAAGATTTTGAACCTGTTAAAATATGTATTTAGTCATCAACTGTCTTTAACTCCAAAATAAGATGAAGTTTTGGTTATATTTAAGATGTATTCCGGATTGAATCTACTGTAGACAAATTTTACAAGATGAAAAAAAAGTTCAGGTTAACAAAATCCCTGATACAAGATGAATGTAAATTAATCAAATTAAATTAACTTTTGTATCCCTCTTTGATTATTTTTTGAAATATTTCGTAGGATCTATAACGCAGTATTAACAAGTTATATAATATAATAATGTCCTTCAAGTTAACCCCTCTTCTAATAACATGATTGTGCGTTTGTTCCGAAAGGTCAGTCTGCCCCTTCTCTGAACCGCCCAAATTTCCGAGGGTCGCGATACCATTTATCTCGTTATTTATTAAATATTCTATATCAACTTAGTTAGGAAGATAAATTTTGTACCCCATATTAATAAATCAACGATGAAAAACATATTCTAATCTATCTAAATCAATTATCCAATTAGTTTTTTTAATTTCCCTAGGTCGTCGTGTTAATATAAAAATAGATATTTTATATAGACAGGTCTAAAATAATCCTTTTCAATGAAACGAAATAAACACGCGGTTTCTTTTTTTCCAATGTTTATAATATTACAAAAATATATGGTGTAAATAAAAATTAAGCCAAAAACTTTACTTTAGTATTTCGCTTCTAAGTAGGTTAGAAGTGCTTACGTAAGCTTGTAATTGCATTATATATCTACCTACATCTCTTTACGCTCGTAGTAAAATACCTAAACATTTGACATCTAGTTTTTACTTGTTCCTGTCCCGCTCACTCATGCAGGGGATTATTGTTCGTGGAATGCGCGCGTCGGCTAGTCTCACTACACGAGGCGTTAAGGCGGAAAATCTCGTTATGCGGCACATGATAGCACTCTATCCCCATATCTATAGAGGCGATTTTAAGTTGGCGGTTGAGAGTAATCTTTCTTGTAACCTATCAACGGTGTTACGAGACTATCCACAGTGACTACCTACTTTGTAAGAGTACAATCATAAATCTCGTTTGTAATCAGAGATAATTTTGATTCTAAATTAGAGCTAAAATTTAGAAAAATTAATTAAAATAATAAAAAAAATATTATGGTCCTTCTTATTATTTTTGAAACTCAAAATTAGACTAATAGTTTGGCAGCAAGTTACGAAAAGTCCTTGAGAACTAGTCTCGTAAGGAGTGCGGCTACGTCATCGACGGTATTTTTGTAGGTATGTATACCGCTAGCTTTGGCATGATTGGCCAACAAAGCCTTGTCGGCGGCCATTTTGTTCAATGCTGAGTCACCAAAAGGTGAAAAATATACATCAAGCGCACTCCCCACGAGACTATACAACGGTATTGGGCATTTCCCTCGTGAACACAAAATTTGGGATTCATGTTCCCTCAAACTATGCGTGTGGATAGGAGATATTTCTGCAATTTTTATCCTGAAGGATTTTCTTCAGTTTTGAAAAAGTTTTGACGAATAATAATATAAACAACTAGGAAGTTTCAAAAAGTTACAAACAACAAGACGGAAGTTTGTTTTCCACCTTACCCTTAGTCGCCGCAGGTCGTCGCCGGCATTCACACGTTCGGGCGTAATTGAATTTCTGTAAAAAATTGTGTTGAATAAACAACGATCGCATATTTTGTGAAAGGATTGAAACAATTATCTGTCAAGTTTTGAGTGCAGTTTATACGGAGTGCAGTGCTATATAGTGCAAGTGTTTACGTACCTTTCAGAAGCTAATGTCACAAACGGACATATGATGTAGTCGTGCCTATCTCTTGGATCTTATGGACTAGTTGAATACCGTGATTTAACAAAACTCCAATATGACGGAAACTACGCTAGTGAAGGTGAAAACTGAGCGGCCTGATGAGGCGGAGATCAGGGAGTTGGCTGCAAAGATGGTGGAGGCTAATAAAGCGAAGGCACTAGCGGCTTCTGCAGCGGTGCCTCGACCTCCACCAGGTTTGGCGGGAGCGGCACCAGTCGGTCCCGGGGGACAGATGGGCATCCTTAATTACTTAAATCGAAAGAATGGTGTATCAATTGAGTTGCAGCGACCAACTTCTGACGATAAAAAGACGCCGGCCCCCGATGAAGCCAGTTATAAAGGCCATTTCGGCTGGGACATGCTCGGCAAGTGTCATATACCTTACATCTACCGGTCTGGCGAAAAGTATGTTGCGGTTCGCATGGTGGAGATAAAGCTTCTCAATAAGTACCTGAACTATCTACACGCCGACATCTACTCCTGCACGTGTATCAGGAGTTATTATATTACGGAAGTCGAAGCGCGGCTTCTCAATGAGATAAACACGCGACATTGTGACGGTCAGTTTGGTCGAGATGCATTCACGCAGAAGGATTTAGTTGTTAGACTTTCGGATGCTTACGAGTTCTATAATTTCTTGGACGTTTGCTACAACAAATTGTTACGTGGTACGACTAATAATAAGGACAAGTGTGGCTTCATTAGGATAAATAAGGAGTCGGTGGTGCCGTACACAGTGCGTGATAACCAGAAATTTGTTCCATTATTTTATTTTGAAGGTGAAACGGACAATTTAAAGTTGAAAGCGGATCAGCTGAAAGGCTGGGACCTGTCGTATTTGAAGTTTTGCTGTAAAGTGCAAGGAATACGGAATGAACTTTTTGCCAGCGAAACTTGTTCTGTGATCAGTTTGACGGATATCAAGAGCTACTTCCCGCCAGGAACGGAATTCGAGGAGTACTGGCCGAACAAAGTGGTGGAGTCACAGCTACTAATATCAGCCAAAGGTAATTTAATATTAAGATTTTTTTATTCATACAAAATATATAGAATTGCCTTATATTATTTCACTAACACAGAATATTTCTTGGACCACATTTATTGAGATATTTGGATGCAAAATTTAAAATTATCCTAGGTATGATATACGGTTCATAGTCTTATAAGTTTATAGAATTTGATGGAAAATTGTTGATTATTTGGTCCTCGGCTACTTGATTCTTGTAATTTAATTTATCTGTCTAACAATATTCTAATTCTATATTATTCTTATTGAAAAGCTCCTAATATAGAGCAGTTAATATTTGAAACAACTTTCCCTCTGTCACTTCAAAAAGTCAGTAGAGCAAATGATAATTCATATCTATACTGTTCAGATATTTGCACAAAATTGTGCAACATTAAAGTAAAATATTTCCATTGCTGTATTCACACAAACATACTGTGTACTCATCCAAAAAGATTCAAATATAATACTAGTTATAGACCAAATATAGGTGCTTTAATTTAAATATCTATAAAGATATAGACAGAATAAGAAAATATCCATAAAACCACTCATTCAGCGATACCTGAAAAGTCACAGTATAAAACAAACATGTGAAAGCAAAATCTTAACAGTTCTGTATGCTTCTTATTTTTGCCAATACATCAATTTAATAGCAGTTACACTGTTCGGTTAAAACCTAAGGAGTGTAGCTACCTTTTCTAATTCCGAGTAATCCAATAGGATTGTTAATTATAGTTAAAAAATTACTACATCTACAAAAGTTTTTACAAATCTTCATCAATAGATAATTGTTCTGAAAGATACAAATAACTTTTGATCAATAATATTTAAATTCATCACTATTGTTTTTTTATCACCCACCATTATTTTAGTATTATAGTTTTTAGAAATTCTTGCAATTATAAAAACTATTTATCTATATTTAACATGTTTCACGGCATGAATAACTTGTATTTACAATTTTTCGTATGAAATTGTGCTTGTCTGGCAAGTGACAATGAAAATATCAATAATATGTAAATAACAAAATATCATAAGTAATCAGTTTACTATTACGATTTTTGCTAAGCAAGCAAATTTATTGCTTCTAGATGCAATAAAAATGTGGATGGTGCAATAAAAAGTGCATATTAGTAAAAAAGTATCATTAACAATGTTAATGTAAGCAATTTTTGTTAGTATAATAACAATAGTTACATTCCTTATATTATTGTTATATTTAGAAGTGATAGAGATCAATACTAAGACAATAATAACCCTATGCTCATGTTAAATGTATTTAAAAAAAAAACTTAAAGGTTTAATGTCTCAGATTCAGGGTTGCTGCTAGATGTTTTACAGCCTTTGTAAGAACAGTTGCCTTTTTATTCAAATAATTGTGGCTTAATTATTGTAATAAAGGTATTAGCTTGTTTTTAAGATTAGTTATAAGATTGTCTTTGCTTGAATATAAAAATTTAATGAAAAGTACACAATATTTGTTAAAATAAGACACAATTATCTTTTACATGATCTAAAAAGTTAATTAAAATGCATCAGTTTGTTGGCGCCAACTTTTTATTAAACTTTTGCAACTCAATACTATTAAAATTACATTAGGTCTCTAGTATATATTAGAATAAAATAGACTCAATTGCAAAGAGATAAAGTTCACATTAAAACACTGAACTTTTATGTTTAAAAACTGTTTGATGAAAAAAAATGTTTTTGCAAAAAAAACTGTTTCTATATGTTCTCAATATTATGATACTAATATAATCCCTTTATTTGATAATTTACATCAAGCTCAAGATGTATAGTCATCATATTTGACCTTTTTCATGTAGTCACTTGTAGCATGATCCCATTTCGTAATATTTACTAAGGCTCTATCACAGACAAGGATATTTTCCATAGAATTGTATTCGGTATTCATCTCAGGGTCTACCCTTCATATGATCCATGAATCGTTTTAAGGGTTCCATACCTCGAAAGGAACAAGGGAACCCTTATAGGATCACTTTGTTGTATGTACATCTAATTGTTTGTCACAACCCTTTTTTTAATTGTTTCTTGTGCCCAAAAGCTGTATTGATTTTAATTCTATATGTCAAAATATTGACCTACATTCGTAGAATTGACACTATTTTTCTGTTTCAGTAATAATTATCGTAATTTTGAGTGTGACATGTAAATCGTCATATTTGTGTATCGAACATAATAGTTGTTTTCCTTGTTCGTAACTGTTGGCAGTGAGACGTTGTTCGAGAAAGACGCGAAACCTTCAGAGAGCCTTGACATGATAAAATAATTTGCATGACTATTCACAGACAACTTTAGCTCTGTGCCTTTTTAACTGTCCAATTCTATTTTGTATATTTAATTTATAAATTTTAGTTATTGATTTGGGACAGATACCGCACCAATTTTTTGGAATTAATTGGTTAATATTTAGTGATAATAATCAATATAAGGCGAATCAATTGATTTTTTATCGGTAGAAAAATTATAATTTACGAATTTAAAGAATCCCTGTCTGTCTGTCTATCGGGTCGTAAGATGTATTGGAGGAAAGGATATTGCGGTTTTGTAACGTCATATTATCTAAACAATTACGTGTTATGGAAGTCCATGATGACAATGGCTATGACGTCATTTGACAAAACAATGCCTATAACAAACTACGTGAAAGCTTTTGATAAGAGTATAAAATGATAGAAAATTTAATTTAGCACTGTGTATATTTGAACAATTTGCGCGAGAAAAGATTTATTATGACCATTAACATTATAAAATATTATTAACCCACTTAATCGTCTGATGTTTGAGATTTTTTGCTAAGCCTTAGACAAGATAAGTAAATGGTGTTGTCTTGCGTAGGGTCCGCGTCAGGCGGTGGGCAATGGACGCGCGCTCCGCCCGCCCCGCCACCAGGCGCGAGC